TGCTTTCAAAGTTCTGCCATTATCATTGTAAATGGGTTGTGATTTGTTGTTATTTAAACTTAATTTTAAGTTATTTTCTTAATAATGCATATAGTTATTGCTACGTAGCTAAGCCTTATTTGTGTGACAACTGCATACTGCCCTAAGCATTAAATATTAAAAATAATACATTTTTTGAAGTAATTAAAAATAGGTGTAGTGAGAAAGTAGTATGTATCATTTCTTCACAATACAGAACGTATCAGATCTTGTAATTGTTTTAAGTCCAGGCCAGTAAGCCCCATTCTGTAGCCACCATTTCTCCTATGTTACTCTTTCCTCCACGTACTGTATTTCACGCTGTCTACATGTTAGCTGCAGTAAGCACTCAGTCATATTAGGAGCAGTCAGTCAACAAGATGTTTCCTTCTTTTCTAAATTCATTTTGTGTATTTGATATTCATACTAGGTAAATAGAAAGAAAAAATGCAAATGCCCAGTTAAATGGAAGCTATGTTTTCACCGTACAAAAACCAAGTTTAGTATGGGTAGGGGGTGAAGGGAAGATAAATGATTATGCTTGATTAATTAATTAAATTCTAATTAGCAACTAGTTCAACTATTGCACAAATAGGAAAGACAGAAAACAGCAAAATACATTTCTGAATATAGCATAAGAAAGTTTTTCTGATATAATAAAAGGAAACACCCACACGTAATCACATTGGCCAGGAATAAGAACATAGAAATTCTCTAACAGAGCTTTTGTTCAACCTGTTTGCCTTCAAGTCAGATGTTTAGAGAGGAATAAGAAAAACAATTCTTTCCCACCATGAATGTACATAACTACAGTTTGTGTGCTATCCTTGGGGTTGGAAAAATTAAAGAAAATCTTTAATTTAAACATTTAAAAATGTTTACACTGCTGTTGATACCTTCTAAAAATATTTTTTTCAGTCTCTGCGTTATCAAACAGGATGTTACATCAGGGGCAGTCCCTTCGTGTTTGCAGAGCTATATGCTATGCTATAATGGTACACACAGTTATGTACAAGTATGAACAGCTTTCCTATTTCAGCACTTTCTCTGAAAGACCATGTTAGATTGACATGTGGGAATGTACCTACCCACATGTACTAAGTTTAAAAATTAGTGAATATGTGAATATTGGGGCTTGCTCCCAAGTACCCTGATTGCAGCTCGTAGCCTAGAAACTTGGAGTACTGCAAACACACCAGTGCTGTACAAATAGATCCTGAAAACCTGAAGAATTTTTTCCATACACAATCTTGAGAAAACTGAGCAGAACGTAACATGATTTAAAAATCTAATGTATTGAAAGAAGTAAGGTAATGTAGGAGAGCCACAGAAATATACAGCAGTTGTTTTTAACATCTTACTGAAACCTCAGAGTATAACCAGAATGTATCAAACAGTTGGGGAGAAAAAGCTCACACCTATGATAACTCTTTTTTTCTTTCTTTCTTTTTTTTTCCCCCCAGGAGACTCATTCTGCATCCAAAACCTCAGGAGTGTTATGTCTGTTTTCATGACTCAGTCACAGAAGCTGCTGTTGAACTGGCCTTTAAACTGTCCTTCGGCTTAGCTACATAGATGAGCTCCCTGAACAATCTGCCATCCTGCATGGTGTTGTCATCTCTTTGAAGTACTTCAACATACAGAGAAATTTAACTCAGTTGTGGTGCCTACCTATGATGTTATTTTTGAAATGCTTTTTAAAAAAATCTACTTTGTGGTATGACACAGGTAAAATTTCAGTAATGGTTCCAATGATCTCATCAATCAAATACTTAAAAAGATTTCAGAGAAGTTCTTATTTTTATATACTGTTGAATTGTATATCTTGAACATAACTTTATTACATGAAAACATCACATAATTTGTACACTCAGTGCTGTTGAGTGTGTAATATGCAATATGAAATGATAAACCAATATCCTCAAAGTACTCTCTGAATATCTGGCAATTGGTGATGGAGGGGAAAAAAAAATAAGTTTTCCAATTAATTAAAATTTTGTGCCTCTAAGGGCATGAAAAAAGCTGAATGTTTTCAGTAACACTGTGATAATTTGTGTGAATCAAAACAGAAAGAAATCTTTTAGACAATTCATGGTACTTAGCCACACAAAACTAGTGGCTTTTCGCCAGTATGGTCTCCTGCACAATCGAGGACTATGGTGTGGTTGATGTTTTACTTGACTTTCATGAGTTTTAACTACAAATAATACCTTTGTATTTGTTAAAATGCAATTTTGAAGGCACAAAAGAAGATGGGAAGGCAGGGGGTGATGGTTTTAAGACCTATGCATGAACTTGGATAATTTTATATTATATTCATAATTTCATAATAAAAATGTATATTTCGCAAAGACCAATAAAGAGGTATTGTATTTTTTTTTTACTTTTTTTTGTTTATTTAAACAATACTTGTTATTGCTAGATCTTCCACAATTTACAGATGGATACTACCAAAAAATGGTTACATTTGTATAAGGCAAGAGAAGGCAAAATGTTTGCAAAATCAGAATTCTTCTACAAAATCCAGCTTTCCTACAAATTGTTAAAATATTTGTAATCTACAGACCAGCAGCTCCTAAAGCTTTTTTTACTAAAGTTTAAAATCTAAGATTTTTGGGGGGTCTTTTTACCCCCAGCCAGCACATTTAGACCCAATCATCTGTGTAGCATTTCATAACATTCCATGTCAGCAGTGCATTTTTTTTCTTTCTGCTGTTTCTACTCACTTTTCATGAACGCTTTTCATGAAATGCATGACTAAAGTTCCATTTTAAACAATGGGATCAAAAAGTTTAAGTACTCAGGAAAGTAAATTCAGTTCCGTAGGCTTTCATGATCAAATCTTTAGATCTTGTTTTCACTAGTAAATTACACTAATTAGAGTAGTTCTAAAATAGTCAATCAAATGCTTGTAACTGCCCGCTCTCACGGAGTGATTCACAGCCTGTCTTGAATCACTCAACAGCTAATTTCTTTCCAAGCAGTAGAAGTCTTAGACCTAAAGTTTAAGCACATGATTGAAGATTTTGTTAATCAACCTTCTCCAGAATTTATGGTTCCTAGATGAGAAATGGACAGTATTTCCGTTTGAGACATACAAAACTGAGTTATATCAATAGTGCTTTAGATTTGTTCCCCATCTGTAAATCAAGTGATGTGAAATTTACTCTGTGTGAAAAATAAAAATATGTAATAGGAGGAATGACATCTGAACAGCACCTTTGAAAAGTGCAAAATACATAAGGCTGAGTATTGGATTGTAAGGTTGAGTATTGGATTTCATTGTAGATGGAAGAAGGGACTTAGAAAAGGATGCAATCTTTGCTGCACTGCTTTTAGCAGATCTATCAGCTTCTACAGAACTGTATGTGTGTTCGTGCACATAAGTGTGTATTTGCATGGAAAAAGGTCATTTTGCTGATGTTTGTCTCTTGCTTCATTCTTTTAAAGGCTGGGCTATACGGTTTGAATGCTAAAAAAGAGGATATTTGAATGCTTTAAAAAGAGGACAGCTAACTTTTAGCTAGATCCTTGTGTTTAGTCAGGCTAGGTTACTCTGCTGCCGGTGCAGTGGGTTAAACTCGGTTGACTTAGCTGGGCCAAACACTCAACTGAGTCAGTGCAGAAGAAACAATGTGAATATGTAGATGTGTGTGGAGAAAAGAAGAACTGAAGGAAGGCTGGACTCCTTCAGCACTGATCAGCTATTTAGAGTGGCTTGCTCCTTCACAAGAACGTGTACCTTAAACAGAATTAAGGGCATCTGAGTATGGTACAACTTTTATACTCAAAGCAGTGTAGTTCAGCAATTAAATATTGCAGAATTTGCATTAATCGTGTTGATACTACACTTAGGAGATTTTTATTGGTTACTTTATTAGTCAACTGAGCGGAGACTGTGTTTTGCTCATTTTTAAGAACACAAAGAGCCCCAAAGGATTTCATTTCCTACAGAACACAAATTTTTATCAGGTATCTTTGGTATAAATCTTGTAGGTTTTTAATTTTCAGGAAGATAATAGCTGTGAATCGGTGTACAGAATTAACATTAAAAGGAATAGATGCAGAGAAGATAGTAAATTAGTTAAAATGGTAGTATTAAGGCTCAAAAGAAAATAATTTCTTTTGCCTTTAAATTATTACTTAGAAAAACTATTAGCAGAGCACTGTGGTGTACAAGAAATCAGTGGAGTAGCAGGGTTAAAATTACTAATGTCAAGAGAATGCAAGGAACAAAAGTTAGCATTTAAAAACAAAACATCGACAATTAAAAATATTTTTGACTGAAAAAATATGGTGTTTCATGCCTTCATTAATCATAAAGTCAGGAGATGGAGGGGATGTAAAACAATTTAAAAAAAAAAAAAAAGCTATTGGCAATCTAGAAGGAATTGGTACTTCTGACCTGCAATGGTCAACTAAAATCACTTGCTTGTCATATTGCTTGTCGTATATAATGTTTATTAAATCATAATTTGATATTATCAACAACTACCCTTTGTTACTTGGTTTTCTATTCTCTAGTTCCTGGCAAGAAACTGAAGTTAGGATTTAGAAACATCAACCAAAAAAGCTATCAGCAATCTAGAAGGAAGTGGTTTCGGATCTGCAATGGACATGACTAAAATTGACTTGCTTGTCATATATAAAGTTTATTAACTCATAATTCAGTATTGTCAATGACTACCCTTTGTTCCCTGGTTTTTTATTCTTTAGTTCCTGGTTGGGGGAGAGGGGCCAGTTCTCACAGCTGACAGAAGCTTCCGGAAAGTTCCTGAGGTCTGTGGTGCTCCCTGAGAGGAATCCATGTTGCAGGAGCAAATGGCGGGTTTTTGGGCCTGACCCCCTCTCATGGCCAGTAACGGTGAAGGATGGAGATGGCTCCTGGGTACCCTGAGACCATCAAAAGAAGCCATTAAGGTTCCAGCCAGTCGTGTGCTCCTCGAGAAGAGGAAATGGCTGGGGAGGTGCTGGCTGGCGGCATGGCGGCCGCCATCTCCGAGATGGTGGTGACACCTGTGGAGGGGGTGATGCTGTTGCTGCAGGTGCAGGCCTTGTCCAAGCAGATGTGGGCAGCCCAGCAGTACAAGGGCACAGAGCACTGCTTCGTGTGCATCTCCAGGGAGCAAGGTAGGGACCCTGGGCTGCTCCCCCATCCCTGTGCCCTGCTCGCTCTCTCCCAAACCTTGTAGAAACAAAAGCTTTTAGAAATGCCTTTGAAGCGGGGCTGTGGTATGGATACAGGCGGAGGTGGTGGTGAGAACAGGGTTGCTGCTGGGTGCATCCCCACAGGATTTTTTTTAATGTATTTGATAGTAGCAAAATCGTGCTCACTGGTATTTGTGGACAACGTAAAATACCCTTCCCATTTTCCTTTTGATAAGTTTTACAAAAGCAGCGTTTATTTGGCAGCCTCATGTTAATGTCTAGGAAAGCATGATCAAAATATGAAACGAAAATCCAGTTTTGAGTTTTCTTTGTCCTTAAGGAGTCTTTGCCTTCATCCACGCTAACAGAAGAAAATTGTTTGAATGAATTACCATTACCTTACAGCAATCACTGTTGTTACTGCTTAGCAAAGTTTAACACAGCCAGCCCAAGGCCTGTGAACATCCTCATGTACATTGTTTTTTCTCAAGATCCACATAAGATTTGCTCTTGCAGTACCTCCTAGGCTGTATTCAGCTTCTTATGCATTTATCTTAATGTATCTTAATTTTAATAAATTTAGAAGAATGTAGTTACAAAAGCACTACCAATATAAGCTGTTTGTCACTGCTTTAATATGGAGTCTGAGCACCCCCTATGGAAGTGAAAATGCCTAAGCAAGTTACTTCAGAAAAACAATTTCTACACAGTTCTGTGAAATATTCTTCTATTCTGCAGTTTACAAAGGTATTCCCTAGTCTTAGAAATGTATGAAGTAAGGAAGTTGAAAATCTTACCTTTTTCTCATCATTGTGGATTGCATAATGCTTGCAGCTTTAGATTTTCTTGTGCTAACACCGAACACGTACATCTGTTGGTAAGTGTCTGAATAAATCCAGATTTCCAATACCAAATACCTAAAAAATAAAAGACATGAAAAGGATCATTTTGGGCCTTTGTGAGGGCTCATACCAAAGTGGAAACAACAGAAGGAATATTGTATAATATACTTCGTGTAGTATAAACTTTGAAAATGTTATTTTAAAGATCTGTTTCTTTTTCTGTAGGATTTTTCAGCTTTTGGCATGGCAATGTGGCAAAAGTTACATGGTACAACACAGGCTCTAAACTTTTAAGATTTTCATATCCAAAGTGGATAAACAGGTAAATAATCTCTTGCATATTGTTTCTGTTTAATAAACAAACTAGATCTGGTCAAGAGCTGTGCAGTTTTTTAGCTGTCAGTATGGTTGGTAATTAGTGGTAGTATACTGAGATTTTGTAATGAGCTTATTTTATAACGAGGAAGAGCGAGCATGGCTTACTGTGTAGCTTATTGTTGAAGGTAATGAAATCTGGGTTTTGATCTTTAATGATCAATGACTCTTTGAGGTGCATGTAAATAACTGCTTATAACTGCAGTCAGAATTTTCAAAGTTTTGTTCAAGACATAATTATTCTGGAGTCAATTAATGCAGATATTAAGATGGATATTAAAAAGCTTGGACTCAGATTTGTCCTGTTTCTGGGCTTTGTCAAAAACCCCAATTACACTCTCACAGTTAAGATTGCATTAATAGTTTCAAAAACCTTTATGTTTGTAATTCCACTTGTGAAGTTGCAGCTGCTTTTATTCTAATGTGTGAAGTTCTTGGGTTGTGTCCTGCAAGCAGGACACTCTCATTTTAATTTTTTCACATTATTTTCTTTGTAATCATCAGCATCTAAGCGTCACGAAAACCTTACAGATAATAAACTGCATAGTACTGCTGTAGCTCAGTAATGCTTCACACTGAAAACTGTTTCCTTGCTACATGTAAAGCTAGAATAGTTAAAGCATTTTAAGAACTTAGTTTTGTACAATGCACCAGAAAAGGAAGCTTTAGGTTATAGCTCAAAAAGGCAATTAAATTTTTGGGCTATGCTGCTTTACCCTGCAATTCTGTGTGCTTGGAAAAAGTCACTTAACTTGGGCAGATTCTTGAAAGACAGAGATCTACACCCATGGAATTAATTACAAGAAATTTTGGTCTTGGAATGTGAAATGTTGATATTGGCATTTGACAAGTTACATAAAATTCATGCATATCGGCAGAAGTGAAAATAAGTTATTTGTATCTAATTAGTTTAATGTGAAAATAGCTGGGAAATCTGCTTTATTTGTATCTGTCTTAGGTTATCTGTTTTAGGATTTCTTTGGATAGGTTTTGATAATTTTAAAAAAAATCTGTGTGTTCTGTGATTTCTCTTGTTGACAGTTTTTTACTGTAGTGCCAGAAACTTTTCTTGCCACAGGCTTTTCTGGTGGTGCTGACCAGGAGGAATGCTGTCAGTCATTAAATTTTGATTAATCTCCTTGTTTTGCAAGCAAATTCTTACGCAGTCCTTTTTCAATTACAGTCACTTTGTATGTAAAGAGTTTAAGGTTGCTGTTTTCTTTCTTTTCTTACAGTGGAAAAAGTAAAACATGCATGATGTAAATAACACTGTGTTTATAGCTCTTCAAATCTCACTTTCCGTCTACTAGAAGCGTTTCCAGATGGCTTACATGTGTGTGAGGTTCTGACTCAAATTTTAGAAACATTCCATGAATAGCACTCAGGATTAATTTCTTGAGAAGTACAGTATTTAGCAAAGTAGCATATCCACTGTTGAAGCTTGGGGGTCTTTGGATGCTTTCTTACATGTTTTCTGCAGGACAAGAAATGGGGAAGACAATATGGTTACATGCATTAGTTTTTGCTTAGCTGGATTACCTTTAAAAAGCCTTTAGATGGTAAAGTGCAACGGAGCTATGTCAGATGTCACCACCTAAAAATGTTATGCAAAATGTTTCTTCTACTGTGATTAGCTTTTTCTTATTTGGTAAACAGTATGGGCCACAGTGGAAGCAAGTACATTGATTTTTTGTTTCCCCATTCCACCCTCGCGGAGAGTTGATGCACAGTTGTTGTATCAGGATGATCCACAGGCCAATTGTTACAGAGGACTGGATGATTACAGGTGAGAAAGATGTTACCTGCTATCTGGGTCACAAGAGCACCATACAATTCCGAACCTGAAAAAGAAAATAGCTTCTTTTTTTTTTTTTTTTTTTTTTTAATAAATGTAAGAATAGCCAGGGAATCTTTACAAGTGGCAATTCTGAAATACCCCAGAGAGCTAATGACCATGCTTGTTCTAGATCAGCAATATAAACTGCAGATTTTTAATGAAGATTTGGGGCAGTATATGTCTCTAGATGTATGTTTCATTCAAACAGATAAAATTAATTTCCCAAAAACAGAGTCTGGAAGGCTTTGCAGAAGAGAGAAAGAGATCTCTGCTTTCTGTATTGTTGGCTTTCCTGATTTGCCTATAATGTGACAAGTTAACTCTAGTCACTGTCTCTGCTGTGCAGGGTTGTCACAGGAATTGGCTGCTTGACTTTACCTACAGCTTTCTGTGCCAAATTAATATTTTTGTGATACCTTCAGGATAAGAAGGTGTTACAGTTTGTAGTTCTTCCTTCAAAGATTGGTTTATTGTTTGCCATGTTTTCACCTGTAGAGAATCCTAAGAGCTTGGGTGTAGTTACCTGTGGAAACAGATTAAAAATCTACAGATACAGAAAGTTGTGGGTTTTTGTTTTTTTTTAACTTTGTCACAGCTTGTGGATAGTGTTCCAATATAGGGAAAAGCTGAAACAAGTAATGCTGCCAATAAATTTCAGTAAGAATTCGTGGGGAGGAAGTGAAAGCATGATACTGTGTAGAAAAGAAATATTTCCAGAGAGAAGGTAAGAGAATTCATACATAAGCATTCTGCTGAATGAGGACAAAATTGGCATGGGAGTTACTTGACCTGAAAGTGTTTCAGCAACTGGATACCACTGTCTGCTTGTGAAACTGGCTTCATCCATCCACGTATCCCGATTTCTTCTTTATGCTTCATTCATAAGTGAACAATGAACTACTCTGTTTTTCATATAATTTTGATAATGTTAAATGTTACAGTCAAGCAGAGTAGTTTGTACTAAAGAGAAGGGCTTCTGTAAAGCATAACAATTGTGCATAAATTTCTTTTATATTAGGTGCTGCTGAGCGACAGTTCCGGGGACTTGGTGACTGTATTATTGAAATTGCAAAGACAGATGGACTTCCTGGCCTGAGGCACGGTTCTGGTCTTTCAGTTCAGGGAATCACTGTGTACTGAGCCTCCTATCTTGGATGTTATGACACCATTTAAGGTAGCTTTTACAAACAAAAATGCATAGGTTTGAAATCTTTATCATGGTATTTTAAATATTTATTGTGAAGTAATGAGGGTGTGAGTTACAACTTTTGTTTTCACAGTTACTTGTGCTCAAGAGAGTATATTAAAGAAGCACCAAGTCATTTTACAGTAGGATTAACAATATGAATGATCAAAATTATATTTGATATCTGCTGGATTTGCCATATATTTTACATAATTTGTACAGGCTTCCATTTTTGTTTTCTTTTGCAGGGATTACTGGCATATCCAAAACAAACTCCATTCATTCCTTCCTTTTTCATTGCCCAGGTTGTGACTATTTGCTCAGGAATGCTGTCTTATCCTTTTGACACTGCTAGGAGACGCATGATAATGCAGCTACAGTCTTGCTTGCAATCCTTTTCTGAAAATTACTTACTAGATTTTTGAAGTTTGACGTGCTAATTGAAGCACTGTGTAGCCTTACTGCAGGTGAGACTGCATTCAGAATGAAAAAAAAGTGGAAACATCTCCAGAAAGACAAGAAGAAAAATAATAACATTGTGAGAGCCTAGTATGTTCAGTTCACAGCTGGGTGAGAGCTTTTAGTAGAGAGACAGGATCTGTTTTATTTTTCCTACTCAGAAGCCAGATATTTGGAGTAAGACAGGTTTGTGGGTAGAATAATATCCTTGATTAGCCCAGCTACTGCGATTAGAAAAATAATCTTTGTGGCACACAGCTGTTCTTCAGGTGTGAAGTGGACTCGGTAATCTTGTACAAACTGAGAATTATTTCTCAGCATGTGGTGGGTATGATAGTGTACTACTAGCAGTTAAGGTTACATCTTGTTGCTAGCTATTAGGTAATTTTAATAGGTAGTTCAGTAGCATCTGAAGTACATTTAATAATATAAATTCTTGGCACAATGATCATCCTCAAACACGAAATAAAAAACCACAAAAATGCTCTTGAAAAATCAGGACCTTGTTCCCTGCATCCCTGAGGAAGTTTTGCTATCTGATAACAGAAAGGAGTTGCTAGTTCAAAAGAAGTGTCTCTACGTTTTGTTTCAAGAGTTCTCTCAATATTCCAGAAAGTAAAAAGAAAATCAGAATAAATGTTGGCATAGAACTTGCTTAGGTGCTTTCAAAAAATCCTAGGAGATACTTAGATTCTTATGTAATGCCTGCATACCTCTGGTAATCTGTCCTAAGTAACAGAAATCCTTGGAGCTTACAGTGGGAAACACCATCAGCACTACTGACTTTCTCCTTTCAGACTAAATGTGATTTCACTGCCTTCAGATTCTGCTTTATCTGCTTAATCAGCAGTAGGCCCACAGTTTTAATGCTCTCTATTCACAAGTCCTGGGCTTCTTGAAGCTTTACCAAAAAATTGCCTAGATTTCTGGTAAATAACTTACCACTAGGATAGAGAATAGTGTCAAGATTATTAAGACCATAAATTATAATCATATGAAATGAAGTAATGGGTTTACTAGCACAAAAGAGGATGAAAATGAGAGGATGCATATATGTTCTGGATGTATATTTCATGTGGTGTCCTTGTTTCATTCATTTAGTTTTGAAGCTTCAGGTATAAATAAAGCAGATTAGTATGATTTTTATCAATTTCTTATCATGATGCTTATTCTGATCTAAGAGGAAGCCCTGAATTAAATATAGCACCTTTTAATTATTCAGTTAAATTACATGTGCCAGATGGGATAACTTTCTGACATAATGAGCTCAGTACAGTTAACTGCTTACAGCAAAGTTAATTTTTGTCAGCTAAGCAGTAATAATCATTACCAAATATCCTTTTCTTTGCATATATTAATGTTAGATTCAAACCAAAATATTTAAAATGCTTTTTTACTATGCTTATTTATGTTGATTTATGTGAATATTCATCATAGATATATTTCCTGCATTTTTTATGTTCAGGAAATCTATAGTGAATTCATACCTTGACTCCTAAAAGATGTAACACAATATAACAGTCTTCATCAGTAAATTCAAACGTCACTTTATTAGCTGCAGAGCAGATCACAATGGCCTAAGAGAGTCCAGAACCTTACCTTGATACTGCAGGTGGATTTGACTTAAGATTGGCTAATTTAAATCAAATCTACAACATGAAGTAAAAAAACCTAGTGTCTTCTTTCCAGTAGAATTTCACGTAAAGATAGAGATTTTGGATTAATCTCTCCCCCCAAAAAAAACCCAACTTGTTTTTTTGCTAGTAAAGACAAAAACTAGTGTCAGTTCCTAATCCAGTCCTCAAATCCTGAAGAGACTGCAGTTCCAAAACAGGAATTGTTTGACAGTTCACCAAGCACATCTACAAAAAACCGCTTTGTCAGAGCTGTGGTGTTACTCAGAGTATCTGGGAGATTTGCTGTTGTCATTATGCCGAGTTCCACAGTGGGCAGGAGTATTTCCCAAGTGCTCTGCTGAGCAGAGAATGGCTACACGACATTCCTCTGGGCTGTCTCTATTCCACTGTTGAAAATTTCAAGACTTAATGGAGTTGGTGTGATTTTCAGTCATACTGAATTTGGAAAAAGCTGAAGGGAGGGTTCAGTACTTTACAGAATCACAGAATTGCCTGAAATTTAGTTCTGACTTGTACAAAAACGGTCATATGTGTGCCTGTGAACATTCACTGCTTGTCATCCTTTATTTCACAGAATTACAGAATTGCCTTGATTGGAAAAGACCTTTAAGATCATGGAGTCCAATTATTAACCTCACACTGACAAGTCCCTGACTAACCCATGTCCCTCAGCACTGTGTCTACACGACTCTTCAATCCCTCCAGGGATGGGGACTCCACCTCTGCCCTGGGCAACCCCTTCCAGTGCCCGAGAACCCTTTCAGCAAAGAAATTCTTCCTCACATCCCATCTCAACTGCCCTTGGAACAATTTGAGGCCATTTCCTCTTGTCCTGTCACTTGTTCCCTGGTTGAACAGACCCACCCCCACCTCTCTCCACCCTCCTTTCAGGGAGTTGGAGAGAGCCAGAAGGTCTCCCCTCAGCCTCCTTTTCTCCAGGCTCAACAACCCCAGTTCCCTCAGCTGGGAACTCATCACACTTGTGCTCCAGACCCTTCCCCAGCTCCGTTGCCCTTCTCTGGACAGGCTCCAGCACCTCCATGTCCTTCTTGGAGTGAGGGGCCCAAAACTGAACCCAGCACTCAAGGTGCAGCCTCACCAGTGCCCAGTACCGGGGTAGGATAACTTCCCCTTTCCTTCACCCCTAAGCACTTGAAGCAAGTTTTATGGAACGTGGTGCTGAGGTCTCTAACTAACAAATCTTCCTTTTTCCTTTGTTTTACTTTGTCAGGTAAATTAATGTTCAAAACCAAGGTGGGCTAGATGAAAACTGGACTGTGCTCCTCCTTAGCCTTCCTATGTTTTTACATTATCGTGCTAGTCAAGACCTTAACATTTTTTAGAGGACTCTGTTCCTAATGAATTGAAATCTACTTGCTATAAAAATATTTCAGTGGTACTAAAGAAAAAGAAAAAAGAGCTGTGGAAGTTTTAATAGCATTGAAACAATTCAGAGCATCCTTAGGACTGGAGTGACCTCATTTAATTCCTAAGCCTTCTACTTGCCCAGTAAAGCTTAAAAGAAGCATCACAAGAAGGATCACATCCTTTCTAAATTTAGCTACTGGAACCAGCTAACAAAGCATTACATTAGATAAATATTTATTAGTTAAAAGATGACTCCTTTGCAGTAAGTGAAACATGAGGAAAAAGTTCCTTTATGTTCTTTAGTAAAGACAGACAAATTTTGCTGGGCATCTAAGTTGTTTTCTCAGTGCAGTAATGATTTCTCCTTATTGTGTGTGTGCAGAGCAGGGAGACTGGACATCAGTAGAGAAGAACTGTTGACTGCTTTATGAAAATACACAAGCGAGAGGAGTTTAATGCTTTCTTCCATGGAGCATTCTCCAACATCCTGCAGAGAACAGGAGGAGCCTTAGTGCTCATTCTTTATGGCAAAATTAGGGATGTTTTTAATCTCAATGTTTCAGAAAGTTCAGGATCCGATTAAAATAGTGAGTGAACATCTACTCTGTTTGTCCAGTGTTCATGATGGAATTCTCATTGTTTGCACAGCATGTTTTTAGTTTAAATGTTATGCAAACAATATTTTTAAGAGATTATTTGGATGTTTTTGTGATTAAGCATGTACTAAATTAGTTTACAGGGAACTAAAGAGCACTGTTTTCATTTCATTCAAGAATGAATCCAAGAAAATACTTCCTGCTTGTTTAAAATTCTCAGTGTTTCAGTTTTCTTCATACTAAATGTTAACACATCTTGAGTTTTAAATTATGGCACATACTTGAATATATTTTGGTAACAGCAGTTTCCCTGGCCTGTCTGCAGAGCCCACTGTAAGTATGTGTACATACCAGCCTGCTACAGCTTCTACATCAACCACAGAAAAAGGAAAACCTGCTTCTAGCCTGTTTATGTGTGTTCCTGGTATTTCAAAGCACAAGTCAAGACAGCAAAAGGAGTTTATGGTTTGGGTTTTTTTATCAAATTGGCATTAAGAAATACAGCAACTCACTTTTCTCTCTGTCCCAGCCCTCAATCAACATTGAGAAGACTGTAGTCTGGCTGTCAGCATTTAAGAAAAAACACAGCCCAAAAATGTGGAGATCCAAGCACCTAGAGACTGAGAACACTTAATACATTATTTCTTGAGGAAATTTAAAATTGATGAGGATTTTTCTCAGTATTGAGGATAAATCTTACAGTCTATGTAAATGAGGAGACTCTTATTTTTATTTCTGGGTTAATAATTTCCAATAGGGAAAGCAAAAAGAAACTAAACCTTGTGGTATATTCATAACTTAAGGACTCAAGAAAGCATTTAGGAGGCATTATTTAAATGGTTTCAAAGAAATTAAGGCTAGCACTGTTCCTGATGTTTCTTTACAACCATTAAGTTTCAGACAAAACCCTTAGGTCCTCAAGTTAATATTTTTTTAGCTGCTAAAAAATCAGATGTGATCCACAGGCCAAGAATTGGAAAGACTCGGACAACACCAATTCCAAGATTGCTACAGTGACAGTAGATGGCTGGGGGGAGTGGAAATACGCTCAGGCAAGTCTGTGGCTTATCTGACTTGACTGAATTTTGTTCATACTTGCAGACTGGGCAATCAGTATGACACTGAAGCACACAAACAAGACTTTTAAGAAATACTTTTAAGAGTTTGGCTTGTCCTGCTTACAATCTCATCTCCAACTCATAGTAGTCTTACTCTTGACAAAGCAAATAAAAAGTCCATTGGGGCTTTCCTGTCGCTATCACGAATGTCTGCACACGTCTGCGTTCCTGACTGCAGCTTGACATCAGCTGGCTCGGTTGCCAGAAACAACACTGCAGTGGCAGCACGAAGCTGCATACAGGCTGATTTCTCCTGCTGAGGTGTGAGACATGCCAGCGCTTCTGCAGTGACAGCTTGTCCCCCTGCTGCAAGGTTGCACAATTTTTCTGGGCCTGATTTAGTAATGTTGCATAGGTACACACGAGTATTGGCACATAATCTCTTGGCCCAGGGTTTCTTTTCAGTCAGGAGTTAGACTCAGGTGGTGCTGCAGAAGCAGGATGCTGCAATACCTTGAATCACCAAGAACTGGTTTTGTAACAGGGATTAAAACAGCAGAGCAGAAAACCTGAGTTGGAATTTGTCTCTCTGGCTACTGCAGATAGGACTGGACCCTGTTTGCCTTTCTGATCCTAATACTAGCAAGGAAAATGAAGGGGTTAAATGCTTGTACTGATAAACAGTAGTTGTGTTACAAATGACGCCATTTAACAGCAGCTTGTCTTGCTTTTGGAGGTTTTAGAGGGAAATTGCATCTGTCATGTTCACTAGGAAAATTCTAGTTGTGAAGCAGACTGATGAAACAATAACAAATGAGAAGATAATCAGAACTCTTGATAGGGATGTGAATCTAGTTTAGTGGTTTAGCACTTTTAGTCTCTCCAGTGGAACAAAATGGTGCAGCACAGTGTCACCTGCTGTGTCAGAAAGATGTTGTATTATTGTGTGAACTTGAGACGTCACTTTAAGAAGCAAATAAAATACTTACAGAGCTTTTCCAGCCTGTAGGTATGTTTTGTTTCAGTCCTCCATGCTTAAAATGACACCCATAAAAGTGGAGTAACCGCAGTAGAGATACTCAAGTTTTAAGACATCTTTTTCCTAGAAAAGAAAAATGACAAAAGATGAGGGCACTTCCAGCAATGTCTGGGTGGAAACTGAGGACAGCTCTTGCCTAGGCGGTGGCGGTGGGAAGGAGAAAGATGGGGCTTGAAGGCCCCAAGTCTCTGCCTGTCCCTGGCACCAAGAGCAATCCCCAACACCCGGGTTTTATTATTATTATTTACCCCTGGCTTTCCCCTTTGGGGCCAACCC